ACTGAAATCTTATTTGTCACTCCTTGCCTCATCTTATCCAGCTTTAACTGCCTATAATAACTCTGGTTCAGTAGGAACCTGTTTCTGGTAGTCTTTTTAAGATAGTGGCTTCAAAATGCATGCAATAAGAAAACAAACTGCAAGTATGCTGACTGTATGTATGACAGTGTGAGACCAAGTTTTCACTACCAGTTCTTACTGTGAATAGTAGCTGTATGTCACTAAGATTCCTACTGATATTAAAGAACTTCCTGTAGAAGTCAGGTATTGCAGAAAGCAGCAAAATCTGATCCTTAAAAAGTCAGTTTTCAAAGACTCAAACAAAAGAAGCTTACAGTGGAATGATTTAATCTTTAACTGTAGCAGTTTCAGGAGTCAAACCAATCTGTGGCAGTACCCAGAACATTAAATTGCATAACTAGCTGATTGCTAGTATTTTATACTGAAGCTTCCTGCCTCTCTTCTCACAATAGCTCAGACAGACGTTGAACCTTTCTCACTTGCAAAGGTAAGTAGACTTAATATCCAAAATAAATACCCACATATACAAAAATAAAAGTACAGTAGTACAAATTGTTTCCTGCACTAATTGGATCCTCAGTCCTGTTTTGCAAGTTGCTCAAAATCAGGGCTGTATCAGTGAAAAAACTAGATGTTTAATGATACCAGGAAGCAATTTTATGTTTTGGCACTAGTCAATATGCAACAGAATGTAAACAGACGTTCTATTCATAAAAATACAATGAAGTCAGAAGACATAAAAAAGCCTGGTTAAAGATTTGTAAAACCAGACGTCACTGGTAAGCTTTTAAGTAATGTGAGAACAAACCCTTTACAGTACATGTCAGTGCAAACTGAAAATATTTTTCAGTAGGTTCAAAAAACTTACCCCCCCCCCCCCCCCGCCTTGTAAGTCTTAACATGATTAAAAGCTATACTAAAAGCACAGGAATAGAATGGAAAATATATAAGGAGTAGGTCAGAATAACTACTGCAGCAGTTGAAGGCACTACTGAAGGTTTCTCCTGTTACTGTATGGGGGGAGCTTGATCAAAATTGCTGTTAGGCTTAACCTGTTTGTATTTAATTCTTGATGGCACTGGTCTGGTCATTGTAGTATTGTTTGGAAAATGCATTTTTTCAGAAATGAGTTTTCTGTATAAATGTAAGGACACAAGACAGATTTTATGCTCATCTGGTACAAAACCTAAAAGGAAATACAGAAAAAAACCCACTCATTTATGTGTTTTGGAAGTTACCGACTGTTTATACAGAATTGCATAGTGGTGTTTCTGGCAGAAATGTTATTTTTTTAGAACTCGGATTTTTAAGAGTAATGACGATTAGTGAAATGTATTTTAGGGAGTGTCATCTCTCAGGCAAGATGGTTTTAGTACATGACAGTACTCAGTGCTTACATTAGGTTTGAATGAGAAAGACAGAAAAGTGTTGTGACCATCAAAAGATCCAGTAAATTCCCTATAAGGAATACAACAATAGACTGTTATCAAGTGCATTAGTTTCTGTACTGAACAGATCAGACGCACACACTAAGAATGCTAATTTAAGGCTCTTTAACATATAAATGCAGGCAGTACATTAGGGAATACTTAAGCAAAAAAACCCACATATCACCACATATTTTTTTCTTGCATGCAGAGTGATAATGTGAATATGAATTTAACTCTTATTCAGTAGGGAGATCAGCTTCACAAGGTAAAAGCCAGTTTCTCACACCATAAATTCAGAATGTCCTATACTGTTGTTCTGCTGTATACAGTCTTGCATTTTATCCTTTATTGTTTGTAGAGTGCATGCTTCTGCAACAAATTACAGTGGTTTAATGGCACAGAACATTTTCCTATTGTACAGCTGGCAGCTAAGAACAGTTCTGTAACACATCCACTATGGATTTTCTTCCTAACCAGTTAAAAATCTTGAGGTCCACTGGTACTGGGACTGAACATCCTATGTTTATTTTTCTGCTCTCAGAGGCACCACTGGAATCCACCTTCCCTGTTAGAACATAAGGCTCAGGATGAAGTTGCTCAGTGCCTGTGACTTAGACTGTTTATCATTGCATCAATTTTTAATGATGTTTTGCCACATTACATAGAGGAAAAAACCATCCAGCTGTTTTTTAAGTTGCTTGAGATTGATAGTAGCTGCAGTTTCCCTCTCTTTCCTAATGTCAGGCAAAGCATTTGCATATATTTGTGGGTGTCATTATTTTTTGACCATCCAAGGCAGGCTGAAACCTGAATGAAGGACAGTGATCCATCAATCAACAATGCATCCTTTTGTGAGGGGCTGATAAACAGTGGTACCACTCAAGGCAGAATCTTTTCCCTGCTTCCATTTCATTATTACAAGAAGACAAATGCATTAGATGGTTGTTTTTTGTCTTATGTAGGTATTCTCAGTACTGCTAGTGAGAAAAATGTGAGAATTCATGAGAGGAAGCTGAAGATTAAACATCTGTGTCCGTGTCTCTGTGCACATATACACATATATGTATGTGCTCTTACATGTAAAATCATACATGGGCATTTTCTTCTTTGAATATGAGTCTTGAGTTTTTTTCTCACTGTAATTATAGCTTGACCAATCTACATTTGTTTATATCTGAAGTTAGCCTAACTTGGATGAGGGAAGTTGTGCCTCAAAGTAGTGGTATTTGGATAATCAGCAGAGAAGTTCAGTCTTGTCTCATTACCAACTCCAGAGCTGGCTGCATGTTTATACACTGGCTTCAAGATGCACATCGCTTGCAGGCCAACTAAAATCAAGCAACCAGATTTTTCTTGGGAAATCTTCATTCATGTACTACTGCAGATTTCTCCCGCTGGAGGAAATAGACAGAGAAGGGAAAGACCGCTGTTGTCAGAGAAATTATTAGTGTTCATGCAATTTGCCCATTCTTAGGTTAAAAAGTGAAAACAGAAAGAAGGGAAAAAGAAACATTAACTCTTTGCAATTTTTTATAGTGTGGGTATGCCAAGTTATGTTAAATAAAGAAGTTAATATTTGAGAAGCCATGTCATGTTTTCATCCACACAAAATACGTGGAGAAAGGGTGCAAGAGAATGCAGAAGATGAAAGAGAAAGGCTGTTACTACTTACAAACTGCAGGTGAGTAAGGTTGCAGGAAAGCTGGCAAAATCCAGGTGAAGGACCATAGGAGATGAAAAAGTAATGGATATGGTAAGAAGCTGTTGGAAATTAGATGGGCAGTAATGTGAAAGGAAGTAAAGAAATAAGAGAGGGAGATCTACAGAGCTACTAGTGAAAATGAAGACATGCAGGGATGTCCTGTGAAGTGATTTTGATTGGAAGATGAGGAGATGATGACATTGGTGTAACATCATTCAGAATGATTCCATGTGCCTATGGTGCTCTGCATGCCTGCCACACTTGCTCCTGGGTTGACTTTTCAGCTGGAAAAGGCTGACATTCACATATAGGTGTAACAGCATAACTTTCATAACAGACATGTCAGGAAATGTGCTCAGTTCTATGCACTCACATTCTTTCAGTTTAAGTTCTTAAGCGCCTCGTTTATACCTGCGCTGGTAAATAATATCAGAGGTGCTGGGTGAGGTGGCTCTGTGGACCTAGTAAGATTGCTAGTATGCAGTGAAAACTGCTCTTTTTGCCTCTGCCCTCCTTGTTTGACCCTGAAAAGTAAGTAGAGATTTCTCAGATGTACCAAGGAAAGATTTCTTGAGTGAAGTGTACTGCTTTTACAGTCACTTTTCCGATTATAGTGGCAGTGTTTTCTTAAATTACTTAAAGATGAAAGCAGTAATTGCCTAAAGAAACCTCAAGAGAATAGTACAGAACCATTCTTTTCCAAATCAGTAAATATTCCAGTAAGTGCATTCTTTATTTGTTTGTTTTGTTATACATTTAGAGTGCTTTTACTCATTCAAGCATTTGAAACAGAAAATTGCCAGTGTATCTCCAAAAGAAAAGAAGTTGTGTTCATTCAGAAAAGAGACTAGAGAAAGCACTTTAAGAAGTTCATAGTGCATCGTCTCACATAAAAGCAAATAAGAAAGTAATACTGTTGGAGCAGCAATGTGACCAAGTATAGATCTAAATATTTATGTTGGTAAATTGTTGGCATTCCTACCTGGAAGGACTGTGATGTCATGTAGTCCCAAATTGAGTCAGGTGATTAAGCTTAAGCAGTGATACTTAATATAAGACTTCCACAGAAACCTGGGTTTCTCAGCTCCCTTTTTATAATGTTATCTAGTTACACTGCTGAGGTAAGTCTAGATTATCAGTTATTGTTTCACTGCAGTACTCTAATTTGTGCCTGAATTTCATGGCACGAAAAGTATATCATATACATTTATCTTACAATAAGTAAACAATACAAAACCAATAATAGATGGTTTCTTTAACATAGGTTTCTAGATATAGAATTCAGCATTTATACAAAAAACCCAACCACTGAAGAGCTCAGCTGTTTTGTCAAGTTCCTGCTTTTATGGGAAATAGTAGTAAACTCCTCATCTGCCTCAGACATGATGATTTGGTAATGGAAGTGGTAAAGTCACTATTAGCAGGGCAAAAGTTAAGTAAAAATCTGTTTAGCAGAAATGTATGCAAGGACAGGACTGCTCTATGGTGCAATTGCTCAGTCCCACTGACACAGTCCTTAGTTCAATATTAATGTAACAATTGAAGATACTGATAAAAAGAACTAGATTTTAGACATTTTCTGGATGGTTAGCTAGGGACTTAGTATATCACCTGTTAGTTTTCATACACACATAAAAATTTTGCTTTTTCACTTCCCTTCAAGATTTTTTGCTCCTCTGCCTGAATTTCAGTTCTCATTTGATCCTGTGATCACGTTTCAGTGTACTTTGGTCTGTGTATTGTAGTTCTGTGACTTTTGATACTGTTGTTACCTGGTGTGTAAACTTATCTATAGTTATTTATTAATCTTCTCATTACACTGATTATGGTATTGTGATTTTTTTCAGTGTACCTTGAGGACAGTTTTGTAAAATCTGGTGTGTTCAACGTGTCAGAACTTGTGAGGGTGTCCAGAAGTAAGTTATCATTTTCATTTAATCATTTACAAAGCCTGCTATAATCAAGCAAAGGGTTTTTTTTTTTTCTGGAAGTTTGTTTTTCTTCCCGAGATTTGAGATGCATAGGAAATGCCTATAACCATGCAGATTTATATCTTTGACCACAGTATTACAGTTCATCTTGCACGTAGTTTTAATGAAATAAACAGAAATCTTCTTTTGTCTCTTTGATATTTAAAGATCGAATCAATTTATTATATATCCCTCTGCACAGCTTAATGGATTGGTATGTCAATAAAATTACCATACATAAGAAAACCTATTCTTTAGACTTGCTGCTTTTTAAGGTTCTCTTACACGTCCTTGGACCTAGCCAAATTCTCTTATCATAATTTTAGTTTGTTTTTCAATTTGTAGCTCTTAAAAAGAAAAATCACAGCATGGATAGAAAGAGCAACAAGCTTAATTTATTATACACTAATGTTTATTTTACTTGTAGTACTGGCTGTAATTGTATTTCTAATTACATTTGCTTGGTTTTGCATCACAAGTGTTATGCACACAAACATGAAAAAAAAGTAAAATACAAAAATAAAAGGACAGGTGAAGCTTTTGTTGCAGAAAGAAAACCCAGAATGAACATAAATAAAATCTGTTTTGCTGAAACCTAGTAACAGGGCATAAAACCAGCACATATTTTCATTTGACACTGCTTTCTGAACACTTTTTTTCTCCATATCAACACTATTAAAATATTTCTCTGAAGACTTCATTAAGAAATGAAAAAAAAACCCCTCAAACTTGAAAATTACAGTTAGAAGTATCTGCAGTGATGATACCAACATTACAAAAACTGAATAATCCAGGAAAATCTCTTTTCTGATGAGGTGAGAATAAAAACAGTGAGGCGCAAGTTTCTGAAACTGTCTGTCCAAATTTTGCATAGGAGTTAATTCATGCCAGGTCAGGGTGCTTGAGGAGTTTAATTAAGTTAGTGAGGCTTAAGGTGCATGTGTGATTTAATTTGCTGTGGTCAGAAATTAATACTTAACAACATTAAAATTGTGTTAAGTCCTTCAACAAAATTACCATCCTGCAGTGTTAGGACATACCCTATTTTGTACTTGCTGAAGTTACAGACTTCCTGGTGTAGGAGGCTGAGGATGTGCGAAATACAGCTTTCTTTTAGTTGTCAGGTGGTTAAATACATTTTAAAGTATCAGGCCATTCAGATTAAAAAAGAATCAATATTGTAGTTATGAAATTGTACCCTCTGCAGCTGTTATATACAATATACTTCTAATAATAAGCTTTAAAGCATGTGGTTTCTGTGGGATTTCTCACCATGCATTTGTTTAACCTCAAGCCGCAACAGAGTTGTACTTTAACTGTCAGGAAAAATACAAACCTTCAGATACATTACACAACATGCAATTATTCTTTTAAGTGCCAAAGGTAGTTAAAATGCACAATGCACAGACAGTGAACAAAGGTAAATACACCACAATATGTAACACATAATTTATCCTTGAAATGCCAAGGTGTACGGTACACAGGCTCTTTAAGAAGGTGAAGATAACATTCAGTGTGTGTGTTTGTGTGTAGAAATACATATGCAAAGCAGTACCTGTGGCACTGGGTGAAAGAAAATGGAGACAGCAAAACATGCTGTCAACGCAGAAGACTATTATTAATATAAAGGAGTTAACACTAAGGAAAAATGAGTTTATGTGTCCCCAAGTTTGTTCTTTCCGTTTATTTCAGTTCTTTAATGAATATTGTTAGCTGTCGTTACAAACTCTGCCTCATTCATTGTAAAAGTCCTTCTACAGAAAGCTGAACTTTGTGCTGTTTGTGTTACCTTTTTCATATTGATGATTCCAGGTTACCTGTTATACAAAAAATATATTATGTCTGCATAACTGCTAAGGGATTTCTAGGGACTGGGGAAGATACTTCACTTTTTTAGATATATAAACATTGATAGTATTGTCTGTACTTTGTTTCTGCAAGAGTCAGGAAATTAGATAAATGTAGTAACATCTTGATGTTTTTTCCAGTGTTAAAAATTAAAAGATGGCTAAAAAGATAGAAGAATATGTTTGACTTGTTATGATGGTGTTTTTTCAGCACCCATAACCCAGGGAACTGGAGTGAATTTCCCAATTGGAGAGCTTCCGAGCCAGCCATATTACCATGATATGAATTCGGGTGTAAATCTACAGAGGTCCTTGTCCTCTCCACCAAGCAGGTAAAAATCTGAAATAAATGCTAAAGTGAAACCAGGTTTAATAGTCTACGACAAGCAATTCACAAATACTGTCAGCAACCAACTATTTTATGACTTTCCTCTGATTTTGTGAGTTAGGCTACCTACGTACGTTACCATAATCTAAATACAGGTATCTATGTTACAGATTTTGTAATTTGAAGCAGTGTCATTATTGCCTGTCATTGCTGCTGATATTGAAAATTATAATAGCTTTTGTCAGGGTTTGAAGTACTCACAGAATATCTGCCAAGAGAACAGCTACTCATCCTGAAACTGCTGCACGAATGTCGGGCAGCTGGGAACCTGCTGGCGGGGGTCAATGACACAGGGCAGTTGCACACGCAAAGGCTGTCTTGGAAGGCTACCTCTTGGACCTCCATTTTGAAAGATACGTTGGGACAGATACTGTTTCCTGTGGAACATATACATAAAGACAAGATGTCTTCATCTGTAACATCACCCCAGGTCATGAAAGTATGTTTCCAGCCTCACCCTTACAAAGGGCGGTAGGAACAATGAAGAGCATGTGAAGTAGTCACAGGCTTTCTATTTTTTTCTCAAGGGTCTCCATGTGCCTGCTACAGACAGTTTGATCTGAGGAACCTCCTTCTTCCTCTCTTCAACATGGTACCTTCTCCCAGCCTTAAAAAAGACAACATTCCCTCCCTCAGAAACAGCTGGGAGAGCCCACAGAGGTGGAGAATCTGCTGTGCTCTCCTTCTGACTCCCAGATAATGTAGTTTGTCATGTCCCTGGGGACCCTTGGTTTTCTGAAACCATCTGATGTACCATGAAATCATAAGCAATGTAGGACCTCACATTAACCCATGTTTCTGCACCCCAGTGAGTCAGGAAATATCTGCACAATGGGATAGGGTTTAACAGGACTGCTAGGGACTGGGGTGTTTTTCTACCAGCGTCTGGTGCTTCTGAGTTGTTTTGGTCATATTCCCTATTTCATTCCACTGTATTTTCAGCTCGGCACTTCACCTACTACATTTTGGAAATGGATGAGTTAATTCTCACAATGTTGTCCTAACAACAATAATAACAATAATACCACCACCACCATTAAAATCTTCACTCTGGTTTTCTTTGGCAACCAGCATAACAGCTTCAGTATCTATTGTTACAAAGAAACTTGACTCCCTCTACTGTATTGAAGTGTCCACTTGTTTTATATAGTGGACTTGAAATATGGGCCTTTTTGTTTTTTTAATTAAAATAGTCTGAAATGAAAAGTCTTTGAAAAGCTTAGAATTTTGACCTAGTGAAATACAGTAAACTACATTTTTTCCTTATTAACACATTCGGAATAGTTCCTGGTTTACCTTGCCTTTATCAGTAACAGTTTTCCAGTGCTTTGTTTTGCTTTCATGGTTTCTGTATAGTGTCTAACACTCCCATGACCCAACCTTTCTTTGGTACATTACAGGAACTGGTTTCTTGGTTGTTCAGCCAAATGCTGGTAGACTTTTATGTTACCCATTCATGCCATATTTAAAATACTAAATCATGTAAAAAATGCAAGCACATGCCTGCATTACATATTATTAAATAAGATAATCTGTGTAAGTTAATGTAAACTTTAATATTTTTAATAACTTTTTTGTGCTTTTTGTGCTTGAATTACTTTCTCTTTCACTTACTATCAAAATACTTCTTGGAATCAAAGCAGTTTATACTCCATTAGTAGCTGTGTATCATATTCATTGCCAAATCTCACATTAATTCAACAGCAAAAGACCCAAAACTATCGCCATAGATGAAAATATGGAGCCAAGCCCGACAGGAGACTTTTATCCTTCTCCAAATTCACCAGCTGCGGGGAGTCGGACATGGCATGAAAGAGATCAAGGTGAGTAACATGGGACTATTTTACCTCAAAGTATATTCAGATATACAATAAATCTCTGCATCTACCTTTTCATCATCTCGGTAAAATAATGGCATTTTAGAGGAATAATTTTTCTGTCTCGTATGTGTATTTGCTGGTTTCATAAATGTAGTTATAACCAGCAGTCAACAGGATATGGTATAAAAGACCACATAATAATTTTCCCATCTAGTCACTACCTTATCAATAATTTCAAAGGTATGTGCAAGTGAGGTAGCTGATACTGTGAATGCTGTGATCATCCCAGCAGGATTTTGAGTACAGTGCTTTCAAGTAAAAAGCAAAACACTTCCATACTGTGTTTGGGTCAAAATGAGTTTACTCGGTTTTTGTTTATCCATGAGAGAAAGTTGTATGTGCATTTAGTCCATACGGTGTGTCTCAGAATAGGTCTAATAGGCTCTTTTCTGAAGAGCCCACATATAGCTCTGTGGGACTACATCAATATGCTAAAGGGTGGTGTTGTGGTTTGGGTTATCAGAAGCAAGGAATATGTTTGTGTGGAGAATAAAGTTACGGCTGTCAAAACCGTAAAATTAATTCTCATAACTTTCCCTCATGTAGTCTTGATGCTTTATAAACCTTGATGTCAGCATAGTCTTTTCCCTCACCTTTGTGATGTGAAAATGTGCTTAAACTCACATGTATTTGAACAGTGTTGGTTAATGGATCCTGTGGCTGAGGTGCTGCAGCTATTTGGAGAGTCTGGGAAATGTACAGCAAAGCATGTAGAAGAGAACAGAAAAAAAGACATGCTGTTGATTCCTTTGCTAATCTTCCAGTGTTTGCCCTCCTTTTCCCTGTCCACTCTTATTGTTGCTTTCAGATCTTCAGTAACCAACTGACCCTTTGGCTTTACCTCATATTTAGATTGGTTTAGTCTTCTTTTTTTTTTTTCCTTCCTTTTTCTTTTGCCTGCTTATTTTTTTCTTTCATCCCTGTGTGCAAGGTAGCGTGTGATGGGTATTTAAGTTACCTGCGTTTTATTTTCAAATTTCTGTTACACTTGGTCTTCTTTTAATCTGCTTCTGCTTACCCTTGATCTGTGTTCTCATCATTAGGCTCTTCCTCTTACACAATACTACTAATCTTTCCTTCATTGTTTCTTTTGTACTTTTTGTTCTTTATGGAGGCCCTGATATTTTTATTTCCTGTCTGTTTGCATTCACTGTTGAATCTAAAATAAAAAACCAAACTTGTCTGTGGCTTTGCATAACCAAACTTACGAACAGCAAAATAGCAGTTCTACCAGCCAGAATCTTCCCACTTATGTGAAATATTTTCCTCTATGACTGTTACCTGACTCTTTATTAGGATTTTTCCTAAAAGGCAGGCTTGTACCTCAATTTTTGTGCTTTTCAAGTAAAAGTTTTTTGCAGCTGTGGGGAAAGCAGCCCATAGTTCCTCTCTAAAGTGGTCACCACATATCCCCACTTGTGAAATGGAGTCCTTTTGTTCTACTGATTGAACTGTAGGGACTTCTAGGAAATGCAGTGCTGCATGGACAGCTGAGTCTAAATCCTGCTGACAGAGCCTTTCACAGATGATCTCTATAGTTCCTATCTCAATTGTGTTTTAGCTCTTGAATCATTCTGCTTGCCATTGACTGTGCTCTGTGAACACTGGATTTATTCAGTTTTACCAGCCTTCCTCATGTCACATTTATGACTAGTGAACAATGTTATTGTTCAGATTGCTTTAATAGATTTACAATAGACCTTTACTTAATTTCTTTGGCATTAGGTAGCTAGACTTCTGGACTGAAACAGCCTTTAATTCTCTTTCTATGTTTCATAAACCAGAGAACTTGAAAGATGATAAAGAGAACAAAAGAGATAGATGTGGATCAGTGCATTTTATTTTTGCATCTTTTCTTCATCCCTCCCTGAAAATCCTGTTCTCTAGCACTGCTGGACCCAGTGAAATTTTATTAGAACCCTGAAGAGAGATTGTCTTTGAGACACTATGAGGGATCTAATTTTTTCTGCCCTTAAGATGTTCTTCTATTTCTGCAGAGGGACAGGTGTACCATTGTATGGTCTGAAAACCAATATATATTGGGGGAAGCATAATCTTTCTGCCCATAACCATTTATGTTTGTCTGCATTCACTTTCTGAGGTTACCCCACTGTTGTAGAAACACTGTGAGGTACTGGTCGCATTGCCTATCCTTCATACCTGGCTTCACTGGAAAGGAGAATTTAGCAGTTCCTGGCATATTTGTTCTGCTGAAAGTTTGTTAGATATTTATCTTCATACTAGCATGTATCTGTGGAAAGCTTGTTTTGGCTACAGCAGTCTTACCAAGATGGGGTATTTGTGAAAACTTATGTTCTGTTTCCTTATGCCTGCAAGCACAAAGATAGTAAAAATAGAAGTTCGGAGGTGGTTTCTGTGCCAGAGAGCTCAGTGGTACTACTTCTCTCTCAACCACAAAGATCTGTGTGTCATATAAAGTTAGGCTTAAATCAAAAAAATAAGCCATTTGGGTTCACATTTGTGTTCATCCAGTGTCACCAGGGGATGCTCATTTAGTCCCAACAGGCACTGCTTTTCCAGGCAGTCTTAAAAGGTCATCAGCATCTGAAATATGAATCATTCCACAGCACCCACAAATGAGAATAAGCAGAGGTATCATGTTTATTGGTAAGTAGGTTCTCTTTCACTCTGATGCAATTTTAACTTTTCTAAGAGAAAGAAAATCAGAAATAGGGTTAATATTAAGATATATCATTATTGGTTTCAATTTCATTGTCATTTCTTCATCTGCATACCTAAGTTTAATGTATTTTCAAAGAAATAGAAGTTTACATGGATCTGAAAGATTCTTTTGTCATGAAGGCTTTTCATATCTTTATTTAGCTCCATTTCTAAAGTAGTAAAAGTGAGATGACCGGTAGTTTGGAATTAGAGATAGTCACAGCAAAACAGTGATACCTGGAACAGGTTGGAATAAAGTAGTTAGGGGTTCCATAGGTGTCTAGGGGTATCTAACCACTTTGATAGAACAAATTAAATAAAGATTAATAGGTAACACAGAATCACAGAATGGTTTGGGTTGAAAGGGTCCTTAAAGATCATTTAGATCCAACCCCACTGCCATAGGCAGGGATACCTTCCACTAGACAGATGGCTCAAAGCCCTGTCCAATCTGGCCTTGAACACTGCCAGGGATGGGCCATCCACAACTTCTTTGGTCAACCTGTTCCAGTGTCTCACCACCCTCACAGTGAAGAACTTCTTCCTGATATCTAGTCTAAATCTTCTTTCAGTTTAAAGCCATTCTCCACCCTGTCCTGTCACTACATGCCCTTGTATAAAGTCCCTCTCCAGATTGCTCATCGTCCCTAGTTAGGCACTGGAAGCTGCTCTGAGGTCTCGTCTGAGCCTTCTCCAGGCTGAACAAGCCCAGCTCTTTCGGCCTGACTTCAGGCTTTCATAGCAGACATGCTCCAGCCCTCTGAGCATCTTTGTGGCCCTCCCTTGAACTCACTCTAGCAGGTCCTTCTTATGTTTGGGGCTCCAAAACCGAACACAGTATTCCAGGTGGTGTCTCAAGAAAAATATACTTTGCAGCAGGGTGGTATAAGTTAGATCAAACTATCACTGCTGTGGAAAAGAAATGCCATGTAGTTTTGCAGGTAAGTAAACATCAGGAAAGGAGTGATTTTGTGAGTGACTCTGTTGTAATCCTCACAAATTCTACAGGTTCTCTTCTTTGCAAGCATCATTATGAGGGGCAGGAACATGACTATAGAAGTACTTGTAGTTTAGCCAGAATCTGTCATTTGTGAAACTAGGAAAAAGAAATCTAGTCCTGTTCTAATAAAATCTTCTGCACACCTCACTTTCAGCTTTAAACCTCCAAACTTTGTCTTTGTGCTGTTATCTATCTTCTTCCTCTTGTACTATTTCCAAAAACGTTTTGACAAAATTTCCAGATACTGTGTTTTATAGTCTATTTTAGTGGAGTTGGAAGATGTATGTAGTGATGTTGCAAGATGTTTAAATACGTAATTCTGGGCAGACATAAGTAAACGTATCTGAAAAATAGGAACTTTAGATGGCATAAAGTTGGTCAAAACCAATCTATAAAGGGTTATAAGCAATGGCTTCATTATACAGTCCTGTAGTACTGTTATGCATGTTACCATTCTGATATAAAAATATAACCGCCCCTAATTAACAAAAATTAATATTAAAAATAAATTTTTATTTATGTTTATTGAAGTCAGATTATAAATTCTTGTGGATGGAAAGAAAAGCTTGGAAGCTATGATACTGTACTGGAGGTTTACCTCATTGACTTGCGAAAGTTTGTGACTATTCTAAAAATATATGTAGCAAAAGAGTATGTGTAATATTTTCAAAAACAGATTAATAAATAATACTATGGGTTTGCAGTGTTGTTTTTGAGTTTACATACATTCAATGACTATGGGAAGATTCTGTATTTTGTGCCATTACTTTTGCTATGTTAAAATACTTAAACTCTATTTTTATAACCAAACTAAAACTCTATTTGTATGGTATTTTGAAGCAGGTGTGAGGTCTTACTACAGAGTAAATAGGCAGGTTTATAACTGCAAAGATTTCTCCTAAACCTTCTTTCTGCTTTCCAAGTAACTAATCATCCTCCAAAAATCCCAGAGCCTAAGAAAGTGAAAAGTCATCTCTGAGACTGGTGCACTACTTAAAAATAGAGCCCTAACATGACAATAAGCAGTTCAATTTCTGTGTCTGTTAGACCCTGTAGAAATTATCTGTTCTCTCTTGTACCTCAGTTTTTCCAGCTGAATGTCGTAATAACTTCAATAATATCTGGATCATATATTACATTTCTACCAACTGGAAATATATTTAGATTTAAATAGTAGTTTGCTGTAAATCTCTTACAGTCTTCCTTTTCCCAGGTTGCTGTTAATGGATTCTTGACATTTTTTTCTATTGAAAATACCCCT